ATTTTATTTTTATTTTTACAGTTTTCAAATTATGAAATTCATAAATTTTCAAATGGCACATAGAAAGATAATTAATGGTATGTCACTGATAAGAGATTTGAGCACATGCTACCATTAGTGATTTCCCTCAAACTCCTGCTAGGAAGATTTTTATATCTCTCGTGTTGATTAAAGCTGTTTTACAAATGATTGGAGAGATTTCCTTAACTGTTGTTTCAAAATGCTATAAGTTATCTGTTGCCTATTCCAATGCTTTCTATTTAAATGCAATGTGTGGAATTTTATTATTTTAGGTATATAGAAGGACTGAATTCAGAGAATAGGACCATTACAGAATGGGAAAAAACTTTCACAGCAACGCCAGAGAACACGTCAGTACCAGATGAGTCCCGGCTGCCAACACATTGGCTTGGTCAAGGAGCCGGGTACCATGGCAGTGTAACTGATGCATTATGGGCCATGCGGGATCTCATGTTGAAAGATGCTCTAAGTATACAGAGGACATTACCTTTTGAGGCATTATGTAAGTAACAGTATTTTGTTATGTCTGACAAGAACCATTTTCTTTTTAAGTAAACATCTACTCTAGCTTTATCTTGAAACAAGGAGTCTGTGATCGATAAGTTAAGTCTGACTTTAACCACTTGCCTGTCATCACTTGTTGCTTCGGCTGTGAACCCGTAAATGAATAATCTAAATGAAAGAAGGTAATTTTGATAACATTAGCTTTAAACCAGACCAATATTTGTTTTAGCTTTAAACCAGAACAACATTTGTTTTAGCTTTTAACCAGATCTCCACTGTGTAAAAAAAATTGGCTTCTTCAAAGGGCAAAAATCATTTTTGCTAGCAGCAATTTCAGTGGGAAGGTAGCACAATTACAAACCAGAATGTTTTTGTATGATGGCCTCAACTATAAATTGATACATTCATACTTCTAATGTCAAAGGTTGAAAAAAAAACCTTAAAACCTTCAAAGACCATGACAATGATGGTTATTTTACTTTTTTTATTTTCAGAAATGATGTTGTAGTGACACAATATGACTCATCTGACGAGGGAGAAATGATCTGTTTCAGCCACGGTGCTCAACATACAATAATCTCATACAATACATACAACTAGATATATATATACAATACATACAACAATATATATATATACTAACAATGTTGTGTCTGAAATAGACATTAAAATACACATCAAACATTACACACAATATTGATTTTAATTTCCTCATACATTACAAACAAAGTAAATACAGATTTGAAATTTTTGTTTTCTAAACACTCAAGATAAATGTAAAATTTTTGTAATATTACACTCAGTATTGATTTTATTTTGTCACATATTACCCACATTTTCAATATTGTGTGTATTTTTTCAATATTGCGTGTCATACATTATCTCACTCATTATTCAGGTGACTTACACACTGGTAATATTTTGAGTGTAATAGTTCACATATAAACACTTGGTATCAATGTTTATGATCCATTACTCATATTTACACGATAGTGTTTAGTTTATATTGTCAGTGTACACAACATAAATTCATACATTACACTCGTGTTATATATTGTGTTCAATTCATTATTGTGTATACATGTCATAAAATTTATTGATTTAGACATAATTGCTTTATTTCATAAATATTTTACATTATTAATGTTACTGGTCATGTTTAATGTCAGATAAAAGTGGTTTGCTTTTATTTCTATCTGAAGTTTCATGTTTTCATTATTTACTTATATATAGTGTATATTTTTCTCTAAAGATATTTTTTTGGTGAAAATTACAATGAGTGGAATAAATAGTGTCACATTATATTTTGTCATGTGATGTGAATAAGTTACGGAACAAATATGTATTTAGATTATACACTGTTTGAAAAGACAATGTCCAAAAACTGGAAATAGTACATGTGTATATTACCTTCACATTTTGGTGTGTTTACTTACGACTATCTAGGATGGCACAAAATGCAGACTTAGCATGGATTTATATAATTGACTTGATCAAGTAGGGAAAATACTTCATTTTAATTCTCTTTAGGGCCAATACAGATAAAGAAAATATTGTGTGTGATATATTACAAGTTTTGTTGTGTTTCTCAGAGTTTAAAGTAAAGAAAACTTTGATGTTGTATAGTGAAAATATTGTTAGAAAAAAAAGTAGGCGCGCCAAATTTAGTTTTTAGAATATTGAAAGTTTGCTTTGTCGGTCCTTTGTTGTGAATGAACAGTAAATTTATACGTATTTTTATCAACTTCCTTTATTGTTGTAAAATTCAGTCCCCAGTGCTATGACTTTTACAAGAACACATGTTGTGAATGAAAGTCATGATAAAATAGTTTGTTTTGCCCACATTTTACTTAAGTCATCTTTAAAATCATCAATATGAATCATTATTGAAGCACTAAAGTAGCGATGGTTTTTAACTTAATTTTAAACAAAATCATATTTCAGACATGAGATAAATCTTTCTTTTTCAATTTACAGGAAAGAGTGAAAGTCATTTGTTTCTAAAAAAAAAACAAAAAAACTTCATACATGCTGTAAATTTGTGTTGTTATTTGTTACATTTGTGCACCAAAAGTAGTCACTAGACCGTGCAATGATTCTAAAATAAATGTGAATATAGGGGGAAAATACATGGTAAGGGTGATTGTTTAAAAGTTCATGTATAATATTGAGTATTTATGTAATAAGTTAGATAAATCTATTGTGTGTGTTTTGCTCTACATTGTAATGACTGTGGCTTTTTATGAACATGAAAGGTGTTTGTGTTTTTTTAATTTTTATTTGAATTATTGTATTCACCATGATAGATTTTGCTTATATTAAAAGATGTTTTCAACAAACTAATTTTGTTTAGTGGGAATTCTTCATATTATATTTATTGTTAAGAGTATCTACATCTGAAGCAGAAACCTTTCTTTTCTGAATTGTTGATGAACATTTGAGAAGTAAGACTGTCTAGTGACATTGAATGATGTAAGCTAATGGTTGCAAAAAATCAGAACAATTAAAGTCAGTCTAACTACAAAAAAAGTACATGTTTAATCATCCACGATGCCATATCTTGTCAAAAGCCATCAACTGCATGGAACACAACACATATCTGTTTAGGCGGCAAAACCCATCAGCAACAGGAGGCAAAACCTATCCTCTGTAGATAGTGAAGCCTAACATCTGCATGGAAGAGCTGTTGAAATGTAAAGATACATCAGTTGTATTTCCGACATATACCATTCTAATGAAAACTGTACAGAAGACAATGTCCATCATGTATGTGTGGCGGTGTAAGGATAACAATAGTGCTAATTTCTACTATGATCATTTTGTTTGTAACTTTGTACATTTTTAAACATTAAATGAACTTCACTGAGAATTTTTAGCATGATGGGACTGGAAATAATTTTTAGAGATAAATGTTCTATTTGATGTAGATTTTGACCAATAACTTGTATGACAAATTTCAGATCATTCACTCACTGTTTCTCGTGAATAATTATCCTTATGAAAAAAAATGACCAAAAATGGAAAATCATTCAAACACTTTTCACTCAAATTGGGTAAAGAATAGTACCAAAAAAAACAACATTTTTTTTTTTTTTTAAATTAATTTCTGAGAATATATTTCTTAATTGTCTTTTGCATATCTTTTTGTTTTAAGTGCCCCAGGTGATCTATGTAAGAAATTCATAATTATTGTTTTAAGCATTTAGACAGTCAGTGGAGTTCTTGTAAGAATACAGCTTGTGTTTTTGGGAAACTATTTTGCTTTTTTCTTAATTTTGAAAATTTTGTTATCAAAATTTACAATAGAAACAAGTAAAAAATGAGATTCCAAAAAAAATGTACCACAATAACATTTTCGTTGAATGCAATTGACGTGAATTTTATTTCTTTTATTTTTTTTGCTCAGGGAGATCATTATACATTTCTGACTGCCAGTTCATATTTATAATATATTTACAAAACAAAGCAATTTCATCCTCATATGTTACTATTTCAGCCAAAATAATTGTTTTGTTCCATTTTCTCAACATGATTTATTCATAATCTCATTATCTGAACACAAAAACTAGAATTTTCATTCAGCAAATTTTTTTTTTGCATATGTAACAGTAAGATGCGAGATTCTAAGTTCGTTAAATGTACCATTTTTTTTTCATGCATTATTGTAAAAAACTCCCATCACTGCCAATATCTGTAGTAGAATGTATACATGATACTCATTATGTAGTTTGATAGATCTTGTCAATGTTTATCTTTATTTATGATTTATTGTCCGTGTGACAGGTCTGGATATGGAAATAAAAGTATGCTTTAAGTTCACTTTGTGTCTTTGTCTTACATGATTACAGTTGTTATTCTTACAACACTAGCTCTATACTGTTTGCCACTTGGTTTAGACTGACAAAAATAATTCCAAATTAAAGTTGAACAAGTCCACTGATGAGGTCTACTAGATTATGCTACATGTCAGCAGGGTCTTTCAAATAGAATGGTCTGGAAACGCTTTATGTCAACCCTTCTCACTACAATTAAACATGTCTCGGTAGTTTGCTATATGCAAATTATGTAAGTGTTCAAGAAAGAGTGAAAATTAATTACAAGAGCAAAAATGAAAATTCTAACGACATAATGTTCTTTAAAAATCTTTAAACTTGTGTTAAAAGGTTAAATTATTTCAGAAAATAATGTTTCTAAAGCCATATCTGTTGTAAATACATAGATTGCGTGTTCCGAATATTTGCTGACAAATGGCGCCATTTTGAAAATGTACCAAATTAAAACCTCAAATATTTTTAATATTATAAACTTTTTACATGGGGAAAAGGCGTAAAATGAAACAAACAATTTGATTTTTGAATGGTGATGTACTATGCCAGATCACGGTCAGTAGATAATCTTATCACGTGATTCAACTGAGACAACTTGTTTGACTCCAGACCATTCTATTTGAAAGACTCTGATGTCAGATATCAAAACAAGGCCTTGCACTTAAAAGGAAACAACTTATTAATTAATACATATATGCCTATTAAACACATCACCAATGCATGATGGAATTGGCCCTTAAAAACGCGAGTTCAAACATGGATACAATACAATCTTTAAATTGAATCATGAAAAATTTAATGCTATTATTTACACAAGGCAGTCATTTGCAACTTTGCTCTTTCTAACATTGGATAATTAACATGTAAATTTGGATTTGATGGAGGAAAAAGTCATTTTCTTCTAATTGCTGTGAAAGGTTATATTGACATTCTTGTGAAGAGGTTGCTCATATTCAGTTAGCTTACAGGTCAACAACAGCCTGTTGTGTCCAGCTTCAACCCCACTTAAAATGACCGTGTATATTTAAAATGAAATTGAAAATAACACTTTCAAATTACTTAAGATTTATTAAAAAGCAAAGTACAAATACCATATAGATTAATGTGAATAACTAACAACGAATTTATTGCACACAGTAAAATGTTAAGAAAAACTGAGCTTTTTACATGTTTTTTTTCCAGACAATCTATGAAACTAAAGTCAACATTAAACAAAAACCTTAAACTGGAAGAAATTTATCTAAGATCACATGAAGTAATTTGTCAATTTGATATAATGGTTGAATCGAGACCACATCTTTAGCTTTTGAATAATTCAGAAAGAAAACCAGTCTAGAATCACATTTCTTACAATAACAAAAATTGACCAATCACAGCCATTTCTCTTTTGACTTGTCAAAAAAACTGTACAATAACAACAGATGAACAGAAATAATATTTCATTATTTACAAATAAATACATTATTTATTATGTCCAAAAAGATTTTCAGATACCCGACCCAGTAAAGAAGATATGTCACAGCCATGCATTAAGTTTGATGTTGTATGTGTAGTACAAGAATCGCATGATCACTGTTATAGATAAGAGCATCATGAAAAATTCTTCTTCTTGACTTTTCACTGTTCTAATTTTGGCTATGAGATAAATCAAATATTATATTCATATAGCTTCATTACTAACTATTGACCTCTTAATTTCAATATTAAACTCTAAACTCATTCAATAGTTTCTTTGACTTGCAAACATAAAAATAGCACCATACTATGACTTTCCAGTTACATAGGTTATGTTAATACAATATAGTAGAATATAACCAGTTAATAGTGTTCTAGTCCATTTAACAAAACTACATAATCTTAAAATTAAGTGAAACTAATACACAAGTAATCTGAATTTTTTTTAAAGTTGATTAATCTCTCACATGCAAAACATAATATATTACACATGATAAAATTAAACTATATACATGTATTTACATGAACAGTATACATGTATTATCTGAGTATTATATCACAACATACAGCACATTAATTAATCTCAACTTTCTCTTCTGGCAACTTACTGTACATGTATAGTTTTCTACATTTATAATCTAATTTAACTACATGTACATCAAACATCATATTATTGGCCACATAAACAAATACCAGTTTGATGTAGGCTCACTTTTAGGCTCTCTTATAGACATAATTATGACAAACTATTCACTATTGAAATGTCACCATACAAACATGTTAACATACAAACACGTCAACATACAAACATGTTGAAATTTTTAATAAAGGAGCCAACATTTGACAGGAAACTTTTGTTGAAATACTTGAAACTCACAAACTACATATTGTATATAATGAACAAATGATAATCATGTAACAAAAACTAATTCAAACAACAAGTTAAAAGAAATAATTCCCCAAAATTTCAAAATTAACCAAAAATAGTCAAAATATAATTAATATGTACTAAAGGTTTTCAAGCGAACAAAAATAAATTTCACCTTAAGTCCACCATATTTACTATTTACAATACATAAATGGTTATCACAAACATGCTTTACAGATAATAATTATCTTGTTCACATTTTTTTTTATTCACAACAACAACAACAACGTTCATATCACAGCCAAAGGTTGAAATGGAGAATAAGCAGTTATGTCCTTGAATTTTAACATAGAGTTTTTGTTTTAACTGCAGATAATTAGATGAAACATGTTACAGTTAACTAACATACATGGTTTCTGTTTCAACTGCAGATAATCAAGTTACTGTTAACTAACTGTAACTACAATAGATAAACTATATCATAGTAACAAGCATCTTGACAACACTGATAAATCATCCTACTAATGTTTACAGTCAATATACTATCCTTACTTTACACAACTTTGATCCTTCAAGTAACAAAGGTTTAATCCTTTCCCTGCAGGGAACCAAAAGTAATCAACCTTGACCACTAGGATTACGCCAGGTCAGCGGTTGTAGTCTGACCAGGCTCTATACTGTTGACAGACAAACAACAATTTTTCCATATAGTATTGCCAAAATGATAATGGAAAGTTCTAAAAGGGCAACTACACAATTCCATTTAAGAAGGTTGCCATGTTAATGGTAATTAAAAAAAAACTTCTCTCCGCCTTACAAATTTGCCTGAAATCATATACATTTGTCTATACATGCACGTAATATAGCTAAGTACAAATTTATATAATAATGAAAGCATTTTTTCTCATATTTTTTTCCACAAATTTAAGAATACAGTTATACTGTTTGTCTTCTCAGTCTTTTTGAAAAAAAAGCAAAACACAACACAACAAAAATAATGTTAGCAAAAGTTTATGGGTTTTTACAAGTCATGGGTAAACTTCTTGCTTAGGGAGATGGTTATTCATGTTTAATTTTTCATTAATGTCTATGTTGTAAACACAACATTTTTTTTAAAACAATATTTACAATATTTCATGTTCATCAAATACATATATTACTGTTCTGATATCACAGATAAGTATTCTTTGTCAGCATAAAATCTTCCCTTTAACAGCTTCAAAAGATCTAGAACATCCCTCAAACATTTTGTAAGATTATTTACAAAATCACATATCATGTCCACCTCCATTTTGATTGGTTGGTATTTTTTGTTGGTTTTGATTGACAGTAGGTAAGTCATATCCTGCTTTGCTGTTGGAAGTGCTGAGGCGGAGTCTGTAGGAAGGAGGCGGAGTTTATTCTCACTGACAATTTGACTGCTACAGAAGGCCACAACTGCCCTGCTGCAAACACGGAACCTGTAAATATTATATACATGTATATTAAATATCACAACTATTCTTGCATCAATATGTTTCCAAGCTATTAATGCATGGGCATCAAAATCATTTCTAAATTACATTTTGACAATACAATTTACTTGTCCAGTAACATTGAGCTTTAAGACAAAACCTCATTCCTGTTTAGTTGAAATACTAGAATGACTTGTTCAAGGTATTACTTTTGAGAACTAGCAAACCAACATAGATAAACATATAGACACTAACCTGCCACAATGAAACTTTTCAATAGTTGACCACAATTAAGGCACTAAACAAGCTTGTGGAAAAAATAACTTTACAGAGAAATAAATTCCAACCCCAATTAGAAAAAAAGATTTCTAACTGATATTTATAAAGCAGACCATATTTAATTCCAGAACATCTTCTTATAAATCATAAAAACTTACTTTTCTGACAATATAGATTTCTTTCCTAAACCAATAGCCCCTAACAGGCCCACAGATGCCCTGTCTTCACCAAAACCTTGAATCTTGTGGATAAGTTTCTGAAGAAGGGTAACGCAGGTAGCAGGATCCCGCCCATAATCTATCTGGCGTAATATAAGCTCTAGAGCTTTATGCCACCATAGCAACAACTTACTCTCGTTATCAACGCTGTAAATAAAAATAGTGGACAAATATATTCGGAAAATCAATAAAATGATTTTTCCTATGTTGAAGTTTTTCAATATATGACCTTAACTTTTGCTACTACATGTAGTTCTGTTGAAAAACTGCTCTAAAAATTGTCTGAGATAGATAGATTACTATAATTCATTTCTTGTTCAAAAAGAAAGAGCAAATTCAATGAACCGATATCTTCCATTGAATGATTCAAATCACTATTCATTTTAAAAGTCTTAGTATTATGTACCTCAATATCAAATCTATAGGCCTATCCCTCCATCTTTGATTGGGGGTAAACTCAAATGAAATGCAAAAATTAACCATTGCTGAAACAAATTGATTGTTCAACAAAATATTTCCAATTTATTCCTGAAGATTCACTAGAGTGTTATGTTTTATCCTGATTACATGTACACTATATCTTACCATGGTTTAGCACGTTCTATCCAGTCAAGTATCAGTTCAATCACCCCTTGTTCCTCTGTCAGGGACTGACACAGGGGTATCTTCTGTATAACATAACAGTACAAGAGAAGGTAGGAAGATTCCTGTAGGCATGTCTGGAAAAATTCTGTAACATTTAACTCTGGTATCTGTACAGCAGCCAACACACTGTTCCAAGCATCACCTGACTGATGGATATGACCATCTGAAAAATAACAACAACAATTTATATATGACCTCAAGAAATCAGTATTTTACAGTTGTTCCTATGAACTGAGCATGGAGATGAAGAAATATAGTTATCATAGAGATGAAGAAACATATCAGTTTGAAGAGATGATATAGTTATTTATGCAGAAATTGGCTACAAATATGTTGACTAACAAACTAATAAAGGAAATGTTGAATCAAACTAATTCTTGTTTATTCTGAGTAGGCTTGAAAAAATCATTTCAATCTTCAATTGTATACATCCTATACAGATCTTCACATTGTAAACTTTAGTCTGACAAACACCATCTGACATGAACTTACCATTCACAAATGACAAGTGTATACATTTTTCAACAATCTGGACCATGTATGTTAATGAGGCAAGGTTTCTAGAGGCAGCATGTATACATGGAGACAGTAGGATAGTTTTTGGAGACTCCTGTAACCACTGTATGATTGTTGTCAGGATAATCTCTGATCCCTGGTGTTCTGGATTACTGTTGTTGAGAAGACTGAGAACTTCCTTCATCATATCTGTACTCTCTTCTCTTCTAGAGTGAGTGTCTGGTACTGTAAAATATATCAGTATAGAGTGAGTGTCTGGTAATGTAAAATATATCAGTATAGAATGAGTGTCTTGTACTGTAAAATATATCAGTATAGAGTGAGTGTCTGGTACTGTAAAATATATCAGTATAGAGTAGTGAGTGTCTGGTACTGTAAAATATATCAGTATAGAGTGAGTGTCTCGTACTGTAAAATATATCAGTATAGAGTGAGTGTCTCGTACTGTAAAATATATCAGTATAGAGTGAGTGTCTCGTACTGTAAAATATATCAGTATATAGAGAGTGTCTGGTACTGTAAAATATATCAGTATAGAGTGAGTGTCTGGTATTGTAAAATATATCAGTATAGAGTGAGTGTCTGGTACTGTAAAATATATCAGTATAGAGTGAGTGTGTCTGGTACTGAAAATATATCAAATTAGAGTGAGTGTCTTGTACTGTAAAATATATCAGTATAGAGTGTCTTGTACTGTAAAATATTAGTATAGAGTGTCTTGTTTTGTAAAATATATCAGTACAGAGTAAGTGTCTGGTACTGTAAAATATATCAGTAAACAGTGAGTGTTTGAGAGTAACTGTCTGGTACTGTAAAATATATCAGTATAGTGTGAGTGTTTTGTACTGTAAAATATATCAGTACAGAGTAAGTGTCTGGTACTGTAAAATATATCAGTACAGAGTAAGTGTCTGGTACTGTAAAATATATCAGTATAGTGAGTGTCTTGTACTGCAAAATATATCAGATATATCAATACAGTGTCTTGTACAGAAAAAAGAATCAGTATAGAGTGAGTGTCTGGTACTATTTAATATATCAGTATAGAGTGAACATCATATACTGTAAAATATATCAGTATAGAGTGAACATCGTGTACTGTTAAATATATTAGTTGTACTGTAAAATATATCAGTATAGAGTGAGTGTGTCTTCTACTGAAAAATATATCAGTATAGAGGGAGTGTCTTGTACTGTAAAATATATCAGTATAGAGTGAGTGTCTGGTACTATACAATATATCAGTATAGTGTCTTGTACTGTAAAATATATCAGCATAGAGTGAGTGTGTCTTGTACTGTAAAATATATCAGTTTAAAGTGAGTGTCTTGTTCTGTAAAATATATCAGTTTAAAGTGAGTGTCTTGTTCTGTAAAATATATCAGTATAGTGTGAGTGTCTGGTACTGTAAAATATACCAGTATAGAGTGAGTGTCTTGTACTGTTAAATATATCAGTATAGAGTGAGTGTCTGTTACAGTAAAATATATCAGTATATAATAAGGGTCTTGTACTGTAAAATATATCAGTATAGAGTGAATGTCTTGTACTGTAAAATATATCAGTACAGAGGATGTCTTGTACTGTAAAATATATCAGTTAAGAGTGTCTTGTACTGTAAAATATATCAGTTGTACTGTAAAATACATCAGTACAGAATGAGCATCTTGTACTGTAAAATATATCAGTAAAGAGTGAGCATCTTGTACTGTAAAATATATCAGTAAAGAATGAGTATCTGGTACTGTAAATTTTAACAGTATAGAGTGAGTATTTCAGGATAAAACATAAGACTTGAGTGAATCTTCAGAAAGACATTAGAAAGAGTTTTGTTGATCAATCAATTTGTTTCAGCAATGGTTAATTTTTGCATTTCATCAGATTTTTTTTTACCGCCAATCAAAGATGGATAGTTAGGATAGTTATATATTTTATGTTGGGGTACATAATGCTTAGATGTTTAAAAATTTGAATCATTCGAGGGAAGATGTCAGTTCAATGAATTTCTCTTTCTGTTTGAACAAGTGAACTTTGGTATACTGTCTATCTCAGACAATTGATTTATATTTCCATCACAACTCTATTGTGGAACACATTTTTGTGTTACCTGAAATGAACTTGTCAATCTTTCAATGTTGACTAAATCATTTATTGTATACATTGCTTGCAATGTATACAGAGTTATAAGCTATATCTCAGAAAAGATACAGGTTTAATGCATTACCGAACAACATCCACTCCCGGATAAAAACCGCTATAGAAACTAGTTCTTCATTCTGCAGTAGCGTTACATTCCGACTACACATCATTATAATAGTGTTTTGCAAAGTTGTTTAAATGTTTTGAAATTTCCAAATCGTTCATTTTCATGAAATAATAGACTCTACATTCCTTTAAAGAAAACAAAAAATAACAGTTCATTGATAAAATCGTAGTTTATACCTACGCGTTAAACTTCGCATATACGCATGCGCTTGCTAGCATGAATGAATACATCGTAAATATAGTAAAGTCGTCAGCGCTTATGCTAAAACAATACAAAATAAGCTTTTTTTAAACCGCTAGTGTGTTGTGATTAAATGTCCGATTTTAAAATGTATTACACCAATAGAAAGCTTTGGATCTTAGCTTCATCACAATATAAACTTCAATACATCTTTTGACTCCAAAGTATTTAAATTAACTGTTAAACCTACCATATGTCAGACCATTTTACATGCGATTTATACAGTGAGATACGCAATGATAAGAATAGCCTGTCGTCTGCTAGTTCTAAAAGTGTATATCGGTGTATTATATAAATGGGACGAAACATCTCAGTTAGATATTAAATCAAATAAAATTCCCGATTTACATTTATGCAATAAAATTGCCCTAAAATGTTTTACAAAATAAGTATGGAGCACCGTCACAAAATTTACCAGCGTATACCGGAAAATGTTTCGGTTTTTTTTTTTGTTTTTTTTTTTTAAAAAACTGGCAATTATCGTGACTTCGAAAAATAAAAATTACGTAAGCTATTCTTTTGAATACCTTTTTGACACATGATTTTCCTTTCACTTTTGTATGCCTTAGATTTTTGAAAAGAAATATGTTTCGAAATTCAGCGAAGATTGCCTGATTCAGTACGGGTAAAAATGAAGATTCGGCCGCTCGACCGTTCGACCCATCACAATTCGTCGAACTTGGGATATTGACGTATGGAGCTAAATATAGGCATATGTGGCAAGATTCGACGAGAAGAAATAATCATTTGAAACTGTAAATCAGTGTAAGCATTTAGAAATAAATACATTTTGTTATTTTTATCTGCTTATATTAATTGCCGAAAAACACCAAAAAAAACCCAAAAAAACAAAAAAACAACCGAAAAACACTTAAAATACAAAGAAATATTAATTCAGCAATATAAACCATTTTTGATGGTTATTTGATGAAATTGGTTTTGTCGGTTATTTGATGAAATGGGTTCAATAATATCAGTTTTAAATCTATGATATATACAATTGGTATAATTCCAACAAAATAAGTTTTATCTACTTTTTTCTACCCTTTAAATGATTAAAATTTACTTTCTTTTTGCAACCAGTGTAAATTAGAGAATGATTCTATTCTGTTTTAAATGCGATATGAAAGTGTTTTTCGGCAAAGTTACAGTCTAGCGTCAAAAAACATGGAAAAGCCGGAAAACACATTTTTACGGGCATTAAAATAGTCGTAGTTAAAACAAGAGCCGCTATTTTTTTCCAACCTTTTAAATGAATAACTATTACTTTCTTTTGTTACCAATGTAAAATGCCAGTGATGTTTATATTTTTATAAATACAGCATGAAAGTGTTTTTCGGCTACGTATCGGTCTAGCGTCAAAAAAATGGAAAAGCCCAATATAAAAAAAAAACAAGATTGCATTTGAGAAAAATGCTTGCCACCGCATGGTTCAAATTTCATAGCTGTTCATGGAAAAGAAAGTAGGTCACATCATCAAAATCTGGTCACCTGATATCAAAGTTCAATTTTACAACTAAAACTGTGCACATGGTCAAAATGTCACTGCTGTACATCAAAGGACAAGAAAGTACGTCATTGTCCCCTCGTGCAAGGCATAATTTCGACCCAAGGGTTTAATTCAAAACAATCTTGATACAGGTCCACCAAACAACATTTCAAGTCAAATATCTAAGCTATAGCTTTCTCCCATTCAGAAAACATTTGTTTTATTTTCTGTTTTTACTATGTGTACATAATGAGAATCATTGCCCCCGGGCAGGGCCAATTTTGACACCAGGGGAAAAATTTGAACAACTTTGGTAGAGGACTTTAAATGATATTATATATCAAACATCAAAGCTCTATGCCTTGTACCTTCACACAAAAATATTTTTATTTTTTCACTATATGTACATAATGAAAATCAATGACCCCCGGACGGAACCAATTTTGACCCCAGGGCTATAATTTGAACAATCTTGCTAGAGGTTCACTACACAATGTTTCATGCAAAATATCTTAACTCTAGCCTTTGTAAATTTAGAGAAGATGATTTTTTAAGTTTTTACCATATACATATAAGGAAAACCTATGGCCCCCGGGGGTGGGGCTAATTTTGACACAAGAAGCAAAATTTGAACAACTTTGGTAGATTACCTTTAGATAATATTATTTAACAAATATTAAAGCTCTAAGCCTGGTACCTTCAGACAAAAAGATTTTTTTGATTTTTTACTATATGTATATATTGAAATCAATGACCCCCAGGGCGGGGCAATTTGACTCCAGGGCTATAATTTGAACAATCTTGCTAGAGGTTTACTACACAACGTTTCATGCAAAATATCTAATATCTAACCTCTAGTATTTGTCAATTGCTAGAAGAATCTTTTTTAAAGTTTTTACTATATACATATAAGGAAAACCAATGACCCCCGGGGCGGGGCCGATTTTGACCCCAAGGGCTATAATTTGAACAATCTGGGTAGAGGTCTACCAGACAATGCCTTATGCAAAATATCTAAGCTAGATGCCTTTTGGGTCTTTACAAGGTGTTTTTAATTTTTACTATATGCACATATAGTGAAAATCAATGACCCGGGGCGGAGCCAATTTTGACCCCAGGGCTATAATTTGAACAATCTTGTTAGAGGTCTACAAGACAATGCCTTATGCAAAATATCTAAGCTCTAGGCCTTTTGGGTCTTTACAAGAAGATTTTTAAATTTATTCTCATAATTCCTTTTGGTTGCCATGGCAACCAGAT